CTCTGTCTCTCTATTTCTGGTGTCCAATCTTTCTACACTTCTCCACGACTTCCTATTTATGGAATCTTTTTCGAAGTATAAATGTCCAAACAAAAACCGGCAAATTATGAATTAAGTTTAATATAACTCTCTTACCCACGACATAGAAATTCCATATGTTCAGATGAAAATAACAGAAATAGAGATTCTGTCCCTTTAATCATGAAACTTTCACGTAGCCATAAAGTATCAAACATGAAGCTTTACCAACTCAACAAGGTACACAAGTATCTGATTCCTTTTTGTAATTTGTATCCAAAGCAAGAATCTTGTTACATACAATTCCGTGAAATAAAAATTTCTTTTACTCAATTAAAAAAAAATTATGTTGGTTCAGTTATATTATAACCAAAAAAATCACACACATATAACAAACTATATTACTGTTGACAATCACTTTTCACTGTAACCTTACCCAAATACCTTCACTCGGTATATCTTGGTTCACTACAAAAACCATGTAATAACCGGGCGGTGCAAGATTAGCGGATCTTGGCGTCTTAACCCTAACCTCATAAGTCCACTCTCCTACTCTCAAAGACGTGACATGATCAAGAACCAAGAGTCTCTGGCTCATCGAGAAGGAATGTGTAGTAAACGAAGGAAACACCATTGTAACTTTAACCGGACTTTTCACCCCTCCTAACACTCTAAACCTCAACCTCAAAATTCCACCGTAATTAACCGTCGAGTGTAACGAAGGACTCATAATACTTGGACGTATACTCTTATACTGAGTCTCCAAATACGACGGCGAGAAAGCCTCTAGCCGGAGCTCCGTCGGGAAAAGCACGCCGGTGAAGTTATAAAACTCATGTGGGTTACTTCCTCCGACAAGAACTCTACCGTCACGTAGTAAAGTCGCGGTCGAATGGTACATTCTTGGTATAGTACTTGGGTTCTGAACTTGGAATCTTGAACCGACCGGTTTATCAGGATGATAAAGATCAGGATGCAAAACCGGTTCACGACCAAGCTCCCAACCAGCAGACCCTGATGAACCACCGTTAATTAGCAGAACTTGTCCGTTAGGTAAAATAATCATGTCTCCCATTAGTCTCGGTCTCGGCATCTTCTCAAGTACCCATTTAGGGTTTGCATCGTTGATCTTGATTCTCGCACACGTGTCAAGACCTTTCACAAAAGTGTTTTCATTCAAAGCCAAGAGGTAAGATCCTTTAGGTGCACCGCCACACACCAGAACCTCAAGCTCGATAACTTTAGCTTCAAGATTCTTGATAGGGAGAAGAACAGCGGAGCCAGTGCTCGGATAACTTCTCGGCTCGCCTCCAGGGATCTCCGGATAAGTCTTGACCACTGTGTTCTTGGAATAGTCTAGTAAAATGGCTCTATTATTAGCGAATATGAATAAGTTTCCATCGGTGTTGAGAAAAACGTTAGGGTAGAGATTATTTTCTTGGTCAAGATCGTTAGTTTCCGACAAGAACCGTAAGCTATACGTGTTTGGAGCGTTTGTCTTAGGAAAAAACTCGAAGTTGAACTCTTCTCGACCTCCTACTACAATCTGACGACCATCGGGAAGTACATGGTTCGAAGCGTACCATCTTTTAACATTAAGTGCGTTATCTATTTCCGACCAATCACAAGACTCGTCATCACATGGAAAAAACAGTCTAGCTTTACGTTCTCCGTCTTTATCTCCTCCTGTCTGAAGGAGAGTTCCGTCTGGAGTGACTCCTCCCGAGGAGCACCAAGTGTTGGACTGTACGGTTAAAGGACGGACACGGTTCAAAGCGACGTCGTATTCGATGGAATGCGCGGTGCAGTCACGTTTCGAAACGGAGTCGTTTGGGCTGTCTCGGCATGTTCCGTTAGGGAGAGAGATTTGTGAAGGACCGAAGTTTGATCGGTCGTACATTATGACACGGTCGTTGATGAGGAGCTGTGAATGCATCGCTGAGATTCCGACGTTGTTTAAGAGAATCTTCCATGTTCCTCCGGCGCCGGATGCCACGTGGAAGGAGAGGAAGAGGAGGAGAAAGAAGTAAGGGAGATGGTTGATGTAGGAGAGGATTTGAGGTTTGGCTTGTGAAGCCATTTTTTTTTCTGTTGGTGGTTGTAATATGAAGTTAATGTCACGGGTTGGCTTTTTATATGTATATATTTTTTTTTATGTTTATGTGGTACATATGTAAAGTTGTAAACTGTCCATGAGATCTACTTTTATAGACGGCATGAAATAAAATCGATTATTAATGTCATGACGTTAATAAGCAAATTAACTAGTAACTCACGCCATTATTCCAAAATGATTATGCCAAATTTCCCCCTTTCTCTTTTAAAATTTTAGTAAATTTTACTTCAAATTTTCATTAAGTTTAACAACACAGTTTGTCAAATTTTTTGTTTTCCATCTTGAAAATTTTCCATAATATATAAGTGATCGTGCCATACTGTTACATTTTCCTGTATTTGTAATACATTTTCTTTTTAAATTTGGAAATTAGTCGAACAAAAGTTGACTAAACTAAACACTAACATTTTGAATAAATGCTCCTCTTCTCACAGCTATTTCTTTGTCAAATTTAAAGTCTGTAATTAACTAAAAGTGTTAGAATGATGAAGAAACATTTAAATTAATTATATGATTTCGTATACAATAGAAAATGAGATCTATAAAGGTTTCTTCTCTTATTGAATTTCCATGCAACTATGCAACGTTTGTATAACCAAGAAGCCATCTAAAGCTTTCACATCAAAAATACCAATTCCACATAGACAACTTCAGTATATAGATGATGTATATAATATAATATAATCGATTCACACAATGATCTCAAGGACAAAATTTTTTTTTTTGGTGTAACAAGGACAACAATTACATGAAGGTATCTAAGTTTTCGGCTGGGTCAATACCATTTAAACCATATTAAATCATAATTATCAGGACGTGGTACCAACCTGAAGTGTACCATTATAAAATGTTAAGTGTCCTCGAGAGAACATTTTCTATCGTTGATTCTAACACTATACGTGAAGGGTTGAACATTTCTGCCTGATTGTTTGGTCATTTGTTCGTGCCATGATGATATATCAACATCGAATAGTCCTATAATGAGAATAAATATAGTTAAGCAAGTCAATGTTCTCTTTGTCCCTGAGGTAATTTCCTTTTATACTATGCGTTTCAACTCCACCGTCACTAGAAAAGTATTCAATGAATCTATATTATATTACAAATATGAAAAACAAATGCGTGGAGCATGTTTAAAAGTACTTTTCAAATGTTAACCCGTGTTTATATTGATTTGATACGGAGTTGAAGATATTTATTCTGTCTCGTTGGGACAACTGTCCTTTAAAGATTTTATATTCAGAACAGCAAAGAAAAGTTTTGTAACGAGATCGCAAAAAAGTATATCCCAGATATTGAATCAATGTTTTCGTCCATAAAATTAACTGTTTTAACTGATTTGATCATTTGAGTAGTACTCAAAAACCACGTCGAGAAGCTGCTGCTTTATTTTGATTTAACTTGGAATTATATTAACAATATCATAAGATTGTTAGAAGGGATAAATTATCAAAAACTGAACTCGACTCTGGAAGAGATGTCGGGCAAGACATACCTATGCAAACTGGTCTAAGTATGTCTTTTTGTTTTACAAACTGTAAAGCAAAGAAGAATATCTCCACTTGAGTTGCAGTTTATTTATGTGTGTCGGTGTGTGCATATGGAGAGAAACATGTTGCTTACGTGAGGGGTTACATGACTGATGACAAAGCTTTATTCTCTTACAAGCATTCAGAATAACTGAAAAGACAGAAGGTTCGCTACTCGTTAGTTAGTTTTCCAGGTCGCTATGCATGGTTTTGCTTCTTTTGATTTCACAACTCAATTGAGCGTGTTTATAAGTTAACAAACTCAATGGCTTAAAAACGAAAGAACACATAGTTGGGCTTTGGTATCTGTTTGGAAAAATCTCAATATGAAACCCAACAGCTTATTTATCTATGCTGGAGAGTTTATCTACTAATTAGTTAAGCCCATAAGACTTTGTCTCGGCTTAAAACAGCCAAGAGACCCAACAAAGATGAAACAGAATATTAACCGTAAAAAAAAACAATGATGGTGGGTGGGTAAAAAAAAAGTAGGCAGTCGGGTTTTTAAGATAGTATACCAACCCAAGCAGAGTCAAATAATTGTCATGACTTGTTTAAAAGACTGCAGTGGAGATAGTTATGACACATTTAATAATGCGACGAGTCCTGTCCACACAACAAAAAACATCTATTGAAGTCTCACACAACTTTTGCATTCCTTATGCATTTATTCTCCTTACCTTCTTTGTTTACACCAATCCTTTCTTCATGACTACCATATCTATATTCAATATCTTTCTTATCTTCAGTAAACAAAGTCACTCAAAATTCATTTTCTCCATAGATTTCATGAAAAAAAAGATGTTCTCCTTATAGCTATTGCTTGAGGCGGAGTTCTCCATTCATAACTTACTACCCCACCAGAAATCATAATTAAACAAAAAAAAAATTAAGTAATGTGGCAAAAAAAGACAAACAGTGTAAAATCCGACATGGCCATGGGTTTCAGACAACAGGTTCTGCCGAAAAACTTTTCATAGTCTGACGGCTAAACTTCACTTTTCCCCGTACAGAAAAAATCCAAGACTTTTTCAACGGCTACTTTCATTTCCCAAGGGAAACTAACACGTGGCATTCACCCACTTGTCAGAACTTATTTGGCGGGAAGCTAAGCAAAAAGAGGACACTGTGGAGGACCCCACATTTCTTCCAAACCCACTGACCAAAACACGGAAGTGTTGTCTAACCACAAAGCTTGGTGCATTATAGATTTTACGCAATGCTCAGCGCCGTAGGGTCAGTTCAACGTTAACACACTATTTTTTTGGCCCGGCATCACATTAACTAATGTTATATTCTCTAAATTAATTTTTAGGATATGATTTTTATACGAGAATTCCGGAAATAATACATGTTCACTGAACTTGATTGACTTCACCTACATTCCTTGATTAGACAACTTAAACTTTTTTGATTGTCCTACTCATGACAAGATACAATAGAAAGTCAACAGATTATCCACAAAGGAAAATTTATTAAGAAAAAATAACAATTTCAAGAAGCTGCTGCTGCGGCTGGAGAAGTAGGTGAAGTAGGATCTGCTGATAAAGAAATCGCTGGACCAACTCTACACCCTTCGAGCATGAACACAACCTCGGACATAGACGGACGATCAACAACGTCTCCTCCAGTACACAACAACCCAACTTTAATCCCCAACAAAAACTCTTCCCACTCTGAACTCTCCGGGTCAAGCTCCAACAAACCCGGTTCAAGCAACTCAACGATCTGTCCCTTTTGCAGCTGCCTCTTCACCCATTTCACTATATCTTCATCCTCAGTAAACATCACCGCTTTTTTACCCGTCAAGATCTCTAACAACACGATCCCGAAGCTATAGACATCACTCTCTTTACTCGTCTGACCCGTTAACGCCGCTTCAGGTGCAATGTAGCCTAAAGACCCGACCGGGGTGGATGAAGTAGACGGTTCTTCCGCTGGAGTCAACGCCGTCAACCTATCTAACCCGAACTCCGACAAATGCGCTTCGAAATCCGCGTCGAAAAGTACGTTTTGCGGTTTTAAGTCTCCGTGGATGATAGACAAAGAATGCAAGAAAGATAGTCCTCTAGCGATTCCTAACGCGATGAGATGACGCATCGGCCAGTTCAAGACATGACCGTCTTGGTGAGACGCTTCTTGCAAGAGTGTTGAGAGGTTTCCGTTAGGCATGTAGTCGTAAACGAGAAGTCTTAGATCAGGTGGTCCGCAGTAATAGCCTCTCAAGACAGTGATGTTCTTATGTTTAACTCTACCTAACGCCTCTGCTTGGTTACGGAACGTTGCGTCGGTTATTGAAGCACCGTCCATTAGTCTACGTACCGATAAAACCATACCGTCTTTAAAGGTGGCCTTGAAAACCAAACCGTATCTTCCTCTGCTTAATACGTTTTCTTCGTCGAATTGTCTTGTTGCTTCTAAGGTTTCAGCTAATGAGATCTTGTTGTTGAACATCACTAGCTTAGGTCCACCGTTATCATCTCCCCTTGTGGCGCCGGAGCTAGTACCGGAGGTACGTGATGGTGTCCCTTTCTTGTCCCAACCCAAACCTAATCTTATTTTCTTGCGCCATCTCCATAGACTGAACACGTAGCCGCAACAACATAGTAATAGCAACAACGCTCCAGCTGCTGCTAGTGTTATAAGTAGGATCAGCTTTCTTCTTCTCCTTCTCTTAACGTTTTCACATACTAAACCGAGCGGTTTACCGCAGAGTCTCGGGTTATTGGAGAAGACGGATGTGTTGTTGAAACGTGCTGCTAGAGCTTGTGGAATCTCCCCTTCTAAGCTGTTTCTTGATAAGTTTAAGTAGCTAAGGGAATGAAGCTGAGAGAGGCTTGATGGTATAGTAGAGTTAAACCGGTTTGAAGAAAGATCCAACCCGGTTAAGTTCCTCAATCTTGATAACGATTCCGGTATAGGACCAGATAGAGAATTCGAATTAAGCAGGAGAGTCTCCAGAGACGAGTCCTTAGAAATCTGCTCCGGAATATCCCCCGTTAACTTGTTGTGACTCAAATCAAGCTTCTTCAAATGAGATAACTTTGAAAAACGAACCGGAATGTGACCTTCTAACCGGTTCGAACCGAGCTCAAGAACCTCAAGACTAGAGCAATTCCCAATCTCCACCGGGACAGAACCGGAGATCCGGTTATGAGACAAAGAAAGCACTTGCAATGACTTGAGAAACCCATAGGTCGAAGGGATACGTCCTGAAAACAAATTGGAACTAAGATTCAAGAACCGTAGACTAACCAAACTACTGAAACCTTCCGGTACGACGCCGGTTAAAGCGTTCTGTCCCAAACCAACCACTTGAAGATCCGGTAAGCCAAAAAGCTCAACCGGTAACTCCCCGGAGATTCTCTGTTTACTCAAATCCAAAACCCGAAGCTTCATTAAACCCGCGATACTACCCGGAATCCGACCCGTTAACCCGCATCCACTAAGGTTTAAAACACTCAAGCTCTTTAAATCACCTACATTGCTCGGAATCTCACCGGAAAATCTGTTGAAGCTGAGATTAAGGACGCTGAGATTCGCTAGCTTCGTTATCTCCAACGGTATATCTCCCGTGAGATGATTCTCGTTGAGAGTCAACACTTCAAGTCCGTGTATAAGATCCGTTGGGATCCGACCCGAGAACCCGTTTCTTCCGAGAGATAACACTTTTAGAGACTGTAACTGACTAAGAAAACTCGGAATCTGACCCGAGAGCTTGTTTCCATCAAAGTCAACGACCCGCAACGACCTGCATTCTCCTATACTCGTCGGGATTTCACCGACGAAGGAGTTGTTCGCTGCTTTAACCTCCTGAAGCGCCGTGAAGTTCCCGAAGTTACCAGGAAACTCGCCGGCGAAACGGTTTCCGGAAATATCCAAAACCGTTAACGAGGTCAAACCGGTCAACAGCCACGTCGGAAACTCGCCATCAATGCTATTCCCGTGAAGGTCAAGAACCTCGAGATTTAAATTCACGCATGCCTCATTTGACGGCGTTGATAGCCCCGTGAAGTTATTAACTCCTAACTGAATGATCCGCATGGAGGATGAGTTGTTGTAACCGTAATAACCGCAGAGAAGACTAACCGGGACTAAACCGGTTAGTGAGTTTTCCGAGAGTGATAACACTTCGAGACTCCGAATCTTCCCGAGAGACGCAGGCACAAGGCCTGTGAGGGAGTTAAAGGACGCGGAGAAGTGTTTCAGCGAGGAGCAGTTGGATAGTGCTGATGGTATTGTTCCTTGTAAGTTGTTAGAGTCTAACCATAGATACTGTAGGCTCTGTAGGTGACCGAGGGAAGCCGGTATCTCACCGGAGAATTTGTTGTAGGAGAGGTTGAGGAGATGGAGAGAAGATTCCGGCGAGAAACTCGCCGGAATGGCTCCGGAAAATTCGTTTGAAGATAAATCGACGTAACGGAGGGTTTTGGAGACGGTGACGTTTGTTAAGCTTCCGGTGAGGGAGTTGTGAGCGGCGTTGAGGACTTGGAGATTAGGGAGGTTGAGTATCTCCGGCGGAAACTCGCCGGAGAAGGAGTTGTAGTGAAGGTAAACGGCTCTGAGGAAGACGCAGCGCGAGAGAGTGGACGGGATGACGCCGTTTATGTCGTTTGAGTGGAGGCTGAGTTTACGGAGCTGAGTCAACTCGCCGAGTCGCGGGGTGAGGTGGCCGGAGAGCCGGAGACGGGGGAGGCGGAGCTCGCGTACGCGGGAGGAGGAGCAGAGGACGCCGTGCCAGTCGCAGGGAGCGGAGGGGGAGGACTCGTTCCAGGTGTCGAGAGCTCCTAGAGGGTCGTGGAGAGAGTGTTTGAAGGAGGTGAGAGCTTTTGTTTCCGGTGAAGCGGCGAAGACGGTGGTGAAGAATGTGAAGTGGAGGAAGAAAATGACCGTTGCGGCCATGAGGAAGGAAGTAGAGAAAGAGTTTTTGTCAGAGAGAGATGGTTGTTTGGTGTTTATAATATAAGAGAGGAGCGTATATGGAGGGAGAGTGCAACGACATCGTTTCGTGTGAGTTTTGGTTGTTCTCCAGAAAGTGAATTGTATAAAGAGAAATGTGTTTTCTTATTTATGTCGTCAGTGGGGTTATATGAGCAAGGGAATAATATCTTACATGCTATGTAATTTTTGTGGATGTATGTGTGTATATACATGTGCTTGTATGACAGTATCTGTACATAATAGTTGGTTACTGAATTGGATTAGACGTTATGTTTGTAGATTTGTGACAAATGTTATGACCAACTCTGCATCTCTAGTGTCCGGTACATCAGATGAATCAGAAAGTACCAAAGTGTATGTAAATTACCACCAAGGCTTTCGAATCTATGGACTAGTTCTGGTACTTGGTAAATTCTGAATACTTTAGTTTTGTATTTTAGTTGATAATGTTTCTTGTTTCTAATGATCAGAAGTCATTAAACACACTGGGACTGTGATATATTTAAGATAATGTAGACATATAGCATGAAAAAATGTAAGAGTATTGCAAAGATATATGCCACTAACTTTCACAAAGAAATATTAAATAGGAGGATCTTTTAATCGTAGAATCATAATTTCTGCCGTAATAGATGGACCACCAGAAGAAGACACAAAGCCGAAAGAGACAAAGCTTAATCAAGTACAAGAACATAGCTCTTGTTTTCTTAATGCTATATATTGTATTTTGTTTAACGTTACTGATTATTACAAATCCGTTGTAGTCTAGCTGGTTAGGATACTCGGCTCTCACCCGAGAGACCCGGGTTCGAGTCCGGCAACCGAGTTTTTTTGTAATTTTTTTTGGTGTTTTGCTAAGCCTGTTACAGTAACAGTGTTACTAGTTAACAAGTAGTAATAACTTCATTACAGTTAGAACATGACCTCTGGTACGTTTTTCACTTCTCACAGTTAACATATAAATGGGCTATTGGGCTTCGAAAGAAGTTTTCTATAAGAAAAGCAAAAGCCCAAACAAAAATCTCGTTTTGTCTTTTTTTTTCGGGACATCATATGCCTGTTTTGTCTGAAGCCCAATTAGTCTGACTTAGTCAAATATCCGTTTTGCTTCCACTCCAAAAAAGGAAATAGGTATGAAAAAAAACAAATAATATAATAATCTCTGTGACCTTACCCGCCGTCGACAACAAACACCGTTGATTCGATTAAACACTTTCTCTCCTCTTCGTGCTTAGGTCTCTCTCTCTCTGAGCTCTTTTTTTTTGTGGCCGCCGGAGATTTTTATTACATCTTCGAAGATCGGTGAAGAATGGGAGTACCGGCGTTTTACCGATGGTTAGCGGAGAAGTATCCATTGATAGTATCTGACGTCGTGGAGGAAGAGGCTGTTGAAATCGATGGAATCAAGATCCCGGTTGATACTAGTAAACCTAACCCTAACAATCTCGAATACGATAATCTTTACCTTGACATGAACGGTATCATCCATCCTTGCTTCCACCCTGAAGATAGGGTACGTTTGCAATTCCTTAAATCAAATTCACATTAAAAGTTTCAATCTTTAGCATCGATAGGATTTGGCGATAGTTAAGAGTTTGTAATCAGACAAATAAAGTTTCAAATTTTGGTTCTGTTTTGTTGATTAAACGGTTCTTATGTATGTAGCATTGATTTGATATGGTTTTTGTACTTGTAATGACTTGTGTCTTGGTTGCAGCCATCACCGACTACTTTTGAAGAGGTGTTTCAGTGTATGTTTGACTATATCGATAGGCTTTTCGTTATGGTACGGCCTAGGAAGCTGCTCTATATGGCTATTGGTAAGTGGGTAATTATATGTGATATTGCTTTTGTTATTTGCGAGTATTAAGTCAGTAGATTTCTTGTAGCTTATTTATAATTGTATGTTTGAATTGGATATATAGATGGTGTTGCTCCAAGAGCTAAAATGAATCAACAACGATCTAGACGGTTTAGATCTGCTAAAGATGCTTCTGATGCTGTATGTCCTTCTATGCCTTCATGCTGGTATGGGGTTTCTACTTTGTAGTTTCCTCATCCAGACCAAATCTTTCTTAGTTCTTTCTTCTTAAGTTTTATCCAAATATATTTGTTGATGGTCTTGATTTGGTTCCTTGTGTAACGAGTATTCCATCTCTCTGTATGATTGGTTTTTAAATGGATGTTTGGTGATGTTTGTTAATCTTACAGGCTGCTGAAGAAGAAAAGCTGCGAGAGGAGTTTGAGAGGGAGGGTAGAAGACTCCCTCCTAAAATTGACTCTCAAGTGTTTGATTCTAACGTTATTACACCTGGGACAGAGTTCATGGGTGTTCTGTCTATTGCCCTGCAATATTATGTGCACATGAGACTTAATTATGATGCTGGTTGGAAAAATATTAAGGTACTTGTGATGATATGCTCCTACCGTTTTCTTACATGGTTATGCAGATTCATGTATTTGATTGTGTTTGTGGCTAATTATGCTCTTACCTGTTGTAATGGAAAAGGTTATCCTATCAGACGCAAATGTTCCAGGGGAAGGGGAGCATAAAATCATGTCATACATTCGTCTTCAAAGAAATCTTCCTGGTTTTGACCCTAATACTCGCCATTGCTTGTACGGATTGGTATGAGTCTTCATCATCTGATATATACTTACACGGGAAAACCATTATGATGTCTTCTTTGTTAGTTCATTTTTCTCACTTTGACATGCTTTGATTGACAGGACGCTGACCTGATTATGTTGGGGTTGGCCACCCATGAAGTTCATTTTTCAATTCTTCGTGAGGTTTGTGATATTCCCTTTTCTTAACTAACGTTAAATGGTTTTGTGATACTTTCTTCTTAACTAACCTAAAATTTCATCACATGAGTTAGGTGGTCTTCACTCCTGGCCAGCAGGACAAATGCTTCTTGTGTGGTCAGATGGGTCATATGGCTTCAGATTGTGAAGGAAAAGCAAAGAAGAGGGCTGGAGAGTTTGATGAGAAGGGCGATGGTTTTGTCAAAAAGCCATATCAGGTTGAGTTTCAAGACCGAGTTCGTTAGTTACATTATTTATGGTGTGATAATATTGTCAGTTCTCATGTCTTTGTTTCTTTCTTTTTTTTGCCAGTTTCTTCATATCTGGATTCTGAGAGAATACCTTGAGTTTGAAATGAGGATTCCCAACCCACCATTCGAGATTGATCTGGAGCGCATTGTTGATGATTTCATCTTCATATGTTTCTTTGTTGGCAACGATTTCTTACCACATATGCCAACCTTGGAGATTCGAGAGGTTTGTCTTCTGATTGTTATTTGTCTTTAAAAGAACCTTTTAAGTGATGCCCTTGTATGAAGTAATCGATATAATCTATGACATATCTTTGTTAGCATTAGAAAATATTATTTTGATGAAACATTTTTCTGGTATCTCCAGGGTGCTATCAACTTGCTAATGGCTGTTTACAAGAAGGAATTCAGGTCACTGGACGGTTATCTAACTGATGGGTGCAAGGTGCTTATTCTCAGTTTATATTGTAGTTAGCAAACCCTTAGATGACATGATTTTGACCTTATATGTTACTTTTATCCTCTCCAGCCAAACTTAAGGAGAGTGGAACAGTTTATCCAGGCTGTAGGATCATTCGAAGATAAGATATTTCAGAAGAGAGCCAGGTTAAATCAGGTACATAATTTGAATCTTATCAATTATCTTTATTACTGCATAATGGTCATTTAAATAGATATTCATTGGTCCCACACTGTTTTCTTTTCTCAAATCTTAAGATTATATAGATATAATAAGTTCTGTGTGTAGTGATGTATTTATTGATGGTTGTTATTTCTCTGGTTTTATATCAGAGGCAAGCGGAAAGAATAAAGGGCGATAAAGCTCGGAAAAAAAGAATGGATGACGAAGCTCCCACAATTCTACCAGAGTCTCTTGTTCCGGTTGAAAGATTTAATCGTTCTAGACTTGCTTCTGGTCCTGTACCTTCACCATTTCAGTCTAATGGTGGAAGGTCTGCTCCTCCTCCTCAAAAAGTTAGACGCACATCTTCAGGATCCAGTATTGGTGCTGCTATTGTCGACGTCGAGAACAGTCTTGAACCTGACGTATGCATCCCTGTCTCTGACTTTTTAAAACTCCTTAGTCACTTTGGAATTGATATGACATTATTTAAGTGAACGGTTGTATTGTTAAATCAGGAAAATGAGAACAAAGAAGAGTTAAAGACAAAGCTCAAGGAGGTAATCCGTGAGAAATCTGATGCTTTCAACTCCGATAATCCTGAAGAGGATAAGGTTCGTCCTAGTGAATTAGATTAGGTTTACTTTGTTCATTTGCAAATAATGTTTTTTTTTTGGGCCTTACTTGAATTCTGAATGTGGTTTATATATTTAAACAGGTGAAGTTAGGGGAACCTGGATGGAGAGAAAGATATTATGAAGAGAAATTCTCAGTTACAACCATTGAAGAGATGGAGAGACTACGAAAGGATGTTGTGAGTTTGAGAATGATATATATATTTCAAGTTTTGGTACTTCCATCCCTAGAGAGGTTGGTTCTAATATGTGAAACCTTCTTTTGTGCAGGTTTTGAAGTACACAGAAGGCCTTTGTTGGGTCATGCATTACTACATGGAAGGTGTTTGCTCTTGGCAGTGGTGAGTTCCTACTTTTGGATTGCTTTCTTTACTGTGGCCTACTGTGATGTTATTTTAATACTGATGCCTCTGTACTTTTGATGTTACAGGTTTTATCCTTACCATTATGCACCGTTTGCTTCTGATCTGAAGGATCTAGGAGAGCTTGATATTAAGTTTGAACTAGGGACTCCGTTTAAGCCTTTTAATCAACTTCTTGGAGTGTTCCCAGCTGCAAGGTTTGGCAACCTTCCTTTTTCTTTATTTCTTGTACATTCTTTTTTTTTGTGTGTTATATCTATAACTAATTATTACTTCATTTGGTCAGTGCGCATGCTCTTCCTGAGCGCTATAGGACCTTGATGACCGATCCCAACTCACCCATCATTGATTTTTACCCAACTGGTAATTGTTTCCTTTCCTCAAAAAGATTCTTTCTTCTCACCCATTGTTAATTCTTGGAACAATTGATATATGTATATCTCTCTTTACTCTTCTTTCCAGATTTTGAAGTTGATATGAATGGAAAGCGTTATTCCTGGCAGGTAAGATTTCCATCCTTTCCTTAACGCTGACACACTCTTATATTTAAATGGCATTTTTGACGTATTTTTACTTTTCTACTCATAGGGTATTGCTAAGCTGCCTTTCATTGATGAAAAACGCCTTTTAGAAGCTGTTTCCGAAGTCGAATTCACGTTGACGGTATGTTACCAATACGCCATTTCGTCAGCTCATGATGAGTGGTTGATGAACTTTTAAGAGTATTTGTTTTCTCAAATCTGTAGGATGAAGAGAAGCGTAGAAACAGCATGATGAGTGACATGCTATTCATTGCAACGTCTCATCGCCTTGCTGAACTCATCTTTTCGCTTGACAACCATTGTCGGCAATTGAATGAACGGGAGAGGCTAGACTTTAAGGTTAAGATCAGACCTGAACTCAGGTTTGTAAATCAAATGAAAACATAACTCTCTTTATCTTTTATTTTATTTTTATGGATGAATATGAAGTAAGCTGGTTAGTGATGTGGTTAGAACTACTTGCAGTGATGGTATGAACGGCTACTTGACTCCCTGTTCAGGGGAGACTCACCCGCCTGTGTTTAGGTCCCCAGTGGAGGATATGGAGGACATCTTGGACAACCAAGTCATGTGAGATCTCAAGCCTAGCTTTTAAAAATGTTCAAGCCTTTAAAATTGATCAAAACATTCAAAACTGATTTAATCTTCTTTTCTTCTTAGATGTTGCATTTACAGACTTCCTGATGCACATGAACACATAACCAGACCTCCTCCTGGTGTCATCTTCCCTAATAAGGTACATGATTACCACAATGTCTTCTTGTCTATTATCAATAGGTGGCTTAAGTTGGTCTCTTGTCTTTCAGATTGTGAACATAGGTGACTTAAAACCCCCACCTGCTCTGTGGCATGAGGACAATGGAAGGAGACCGATGCATAATCACAATACTAATTATTACAACAACAACAATAATAATAGTAATCATCAAGGGAGGCATCTTGGAGACGCAGCGCGTCGTCTTGTCAACAGAAACTTAGATAGGAGAACAGACCGGGAAGGGTATCAGACAGGAGATGATGTACATACTCAGCATCATCATCATCATCATCATCATCATCCTGGTTACGACTACAACCAACCACCACCGCCTTATGTTCCCCAAGTTCCTTACCAACATGGTGGCGGCCATATGGCTCCTCCACATGGCGTGCAAGGCTATGCTCAGCCACATCAAGCTCCTTATCAAAGTCGAGGTGGATACCAACCTCATGGGACCAGTGGGAGATTCCCGTCAGATCCTTACCCTGTCCAGTCACGTGGAGGCCACCGTGACAGCAGAGGAGGTGGGTATTCTGGTAACTACAACCAACACCATCAACAGCAGCAGCTGCAGCATTGGAATGGTCAAGGTGGGTCTGAGCATTATAACCCAAGAGAGTATGGTGATCAGCATCACCGTCATCAGCAAGGTGACCGAAGAGGAGGAGGTGGAAGAGAAAGTCAACACCGTGATCGTTATTAAGAACATTGACCTCCTCTCTCTCCTAAAGGCTTAAGAGTATATGAATCATCATCATCAGGTGTAGAATTGAGCTTCGTTTTATATTGGTTTGTTGTATCATTAGAATTGGGCACTGCTCTTGGTTTCTTTGGTTTAAAAAGAAGAGATTAGAGCAGCTGGGGGGAAACTATAGGTGGGGGGTTTACATTAGTTTGCTTGCAACAATTTTTATTTGTATTTGTATCTTTTGTTTTTAAAACAATTGTTTATCTTTGAATAAACTAAACAGTGGTTATTTGGACTAATGATTTCAAAGTAAAATTGATATCATTTACTCTTTCTAGTTTACAACAAACTTACAATACACACATCAGGAAGACAAAAAAACTGAAACGATGTGTGAGTTTAACAAAGGATAATATGATGGCTCACTTCAATGACTGAAGAGCAGAAGAGGTAGTGACAAGACTAGACAAGAGACCAACGAGTAATGCATTGTTATACGTCGCTGGCTCGTTCTGCCTCACATTCTCTCTTGAGTCGCTGAACGTTTCGTTCAAGTAAGGCCCTCCCACTAGTGCTCCATATGCTATGTTTGGGTTTGGTTTCGTCGAGTTAAAGTACTTGAAACCATCTAAGCATCCTGTGGTTGCATCTACAGGTATTGAAGCGCCTCTATGATGGATGTATTCTGGGTACTTGTCTCCATAACCAACCACGAAGCTCATTCCCATCGGATTCTTACCCAATATGTAATCAGCCTTAAAGAAGAAGGAAACTATGAACAGTAAGGACTTCTATTCTTTTGTTATGTATAGACTCTTGTTGTTACCTGTGATTTGGCGAAATCTCTGAGCTCTGTTGCTTTAAAGATCTTTCCGTAGCAATTTATCTTATGGATACGTGAAGTGAGCATGTAATCACTGAAGAGTGTGGCTAAGAATCCTGCGGAAACGGATTGTAGCAGCGGGTTCCAATCACTGACCAATACAAGACCACCTATTGAAGCAAGAAGAGATTTAAAACATTTATGAGAAACTGAGTGTTTTTGTGTTGAGATGAAGTAACAAAAGTGAGAAAAGTTACCGTTTGATCTACTAGTAGTAGCTGTTGGAGATTTTGGTAGAAGACCACACATTACAGCTTTAGCTGTACCCCTGTATTTTCCAAGAGCCTTGTTTCCTGATAAGTCTTTTTTAAAGAAGAGTAACCTTGATAACAGTACCTGCAATGGTAACAAAAAAACCTTTCAATATAAAGAATATGCTTTCAACACTTCTTCTCCTTCTTCTTACAATCTAACCTGTGTTCCTGAAAGCTTGTCGTCCCAACTAAACCAAGTTGGATTACCAAATCTAGCAAACTCATTTCCATGCTTAGTAACATAGTCCAAATAATTTTTCTCCTCTGTCGCATGATACAACCAGCTAGCTGCCCATAGAAGCTCGTCACCATAACCTGTGGAATTATAAAACTTCTGAACCTCCGGTATGTTAACACTGTAAGAGCCTCTTTTAGCATCTGCAAAATCAAACAACTGCTTGGCGTGTTTCAGAAGCGTGGCTGAATACTGAGGGTCGCTATCTTTGAACACAAGAGACGCAGAAGCCATAGCTGCAGCAGTCTCCGCAGCAACTTCAGTCCCTGGAGTGTCTGAATCAATCTTGATAAGTGGTCTCTTCCCTTTCATTGTCTCTGGTCTCTCCCAACATGGATGATCCACCTCTGGATCTCCCACCTGGATGTAGAGGACGTTATCAGAAGGATGAGCTTTGATGAAGTAATCAGTAGTCCATCTGAGAGATTCTTTAGCAGGATCCAATAGGTTAACAACATCCATTTGGTCACCATACTCAAGAATGGACCAAGACAAGACGGTGGCGGTGAAAGCCATAGGGAAACCAAACTTGATATGATCACCAGCGTCATATAAGCCTTTGGAGAGATCAAGATTCGCTTCACTTCCGTCTTTTAGACCTGAATCTCCTCTCCAAGATATCGTATTGTTCACCAACTTTCCAGCTACATCAAAAACAATCCAATTCAACTTTCATTAAACAAACCAGAAATTGGCATAGTAGCTTAAATTCCTAATAAAATCAAAGACTAAGGTCATGAAATTTTTGATAAAAATTACATAGACCATGAAATTTGTAAGAAAAAACAAATTATTAAAAACAATGCAAATTCAGCTTAGAAACCAAACTAGAAATTAGCATAGTGACTAAAACTCCTAGATTATTTCTATACTTAGACTGAATTCTAAAAGAATCAATGTTCAAGAAATAGATAGGCTCAGTTTATAGAGAATAGTGATTATACAGACGCCTACGAAATATCTCCTAGACTGTTTTGCAGCCTATACCGAGTTTTAGAACACTGAAAAAGACTATTCTAGGCCCGTAGATATCCCTACATTCCCTCTCTATATCACTAAATCAGTTGGGAGAGATCCGTACATGGTACGGTATAGACCTAGTGGATCAGTACGAGCTCGTTTTAGGGAATGTACGGATCTATCTACGGGTCTAAAACTTCATAGTCATTTTAATTCAGTTCAAGAAACTTTAGCAATATCACATGAGAAATGACAAAAATACGTGGAAAACGTGGAAGCACGTTGATGATGGACAAAAAAAAAAGTTAAAAAAGGAAGAATGTGAGAGGTTTTGATGATACATACATTTCTGGATGTCGAAGAACTGTAAGGCGAGTTTGAGAGCGTTGGCGTATTTTTTATCAATGGCGCCGGGAGGTCCAGGGACGGGACCAGCTCCCTCGTCGTCGTTGTTGTTATCGGATTTGTTCGTTTTTGATTTGACCATGTAGACGATGGCGAGGATGACAGCTGTTAGTACGATGAGTGCTATGAACCAACCGAACAAACCTTTCGACTTCGATTTCTCCACCATTTTATAGACTTGTTGTAGTCAACAAATTACACGAGAGAGATCGGTTAGATTAGATCCGGTTCAATGCAGGTGCGTACGGCGATTGGAATTGAGGAAGTAGGTGTATCTCCGAAGATGTAAGAATCAGAGAGATTGATTTGTATTTGTGAATTGTGATGAAGATCGATTCGAGAGAGATGTTACTGTTACTACTTCAAAGTGGTTGTTAGTGTCGGTGGAGTAACAAGCGGGAGTTGACTTAGAGATCTATTCTCTTTCTCTTTTTTTTTTTACCTTTTGGACTTTTCCTTGTTAATTATAGATTGGTAACACCTTCCCGCGGAAGGAAGCAGTTGGGCCGAGTCCAACTCTCTCACATCATCCTATAAAATTCATTACTAAGTCCAATCATATTTATTCATAAATAGTTTAATCAGATTAAAGATGTATTTTCTAACTCGAAGCTCCTTTCTGGAACTAATGGGTCTGGGCTTTACCATTCCTTTGGTTTCGACCCCTTATCTACAGTCCCACATCCCACAATAAGCACATCTTCATTTCAGATATCTTACTCAGTGTCAGGTGTAAAGCCTTATGTCTTTTTGTGCTTCAAAGCAATTTGGTGTTACGTCAGGTGTAAAGTATATGTCTTGTATTTGAAATGCGCAGATGCTGATTGATCTGAAACATTGATCCAGAAGCAGGAACTTTGTCAGACATGTTGATTGCTCTGAGGTCAAGGTCAAGGATTGCTGATCCGGAAGATGTATCACACACAGATTGCATCAATGTGCTTGACGAGATTGAAAATGTGGACTAAGGTGTCATCTTTGCAGCCTTTATACCTTTTTGAGAATCCTGGTCTTAGAGAGACATTTGTCTCCCTCTTAAAACAAACAAGTTACACTTGACATGGTTGCAAGTCAAGCTAACAAGCTACTATTAGTTTGTTTTTTTTTTTAACCGTTGTAGAAGTCTTTTGGTTGCTGATGAAGAATAGTTTCAAGAGGAGCATAGTATCAACTTAAGATGAAGACACAAGGTGATCCGTTCTTATCATATTTTAGTTACTGAACAACAGAAGAAAACATCTAACTGAACACTTGTTGGGTCATATGATTTCTCACATGTTTGGTGAGCAAAAAAAAATACAGTATTGTACAAATGTAAACACACACTGAAGAATTGTGAGAAAAGGGAGGAGAAGAGACTCTTTGATATGGTGTTGGTTCTCTAGTTTCAAGATATCTAGTCATCATCTTTAAACTCCCTAACCACAAGAAGAAAAAAACAAGAAGAGATGTGTTAGTATCAATACCAAAAAAAAAAAAAACAGAGTTGGGGCTTTTTCAGGTTAATCTGATATCACAAAGTACCTTCGATCAAGGTAACGAGGCTGAACACCAGAGCCTTGACAAGTAGTGCAAGTCAAGGAACCAGCACCATCACAGTTGATACAGCTCGACACTTCCTTCTCTCCTCCTCCAAGCTCCACCGTCACATTACCACTTCCCACACACAACCTACACTTCTCTGCTCCATCAAGAACACATAAGAAACTTATAAACATCACAAAACAGGTTGCTTCTTGAAAAAGAGAGAGAGATTCACATACGAGCTCCAGTGCCATTGCAAGGAAAACAAGGTTGAGTGTTCTCTCTCTTTGCCTATGTACAAAGATAAAAACACTAAACACTGTCAAAACTTCATTCCACACCAATGCACTCTTAACTAAACCTAGCTAGGGAACGTGAAGACTCACAGCGTTATCGATCTGCGTCTCGTAGAAAACAGGGATTCCAATTCCTAACGCGACGCTCGCCACGCCTACAGAGATTGCGATTACCTAAATAAAAAAAATATCAATAATCATAATGTGACAACATATTCTATATATAGAAAATAGATGTGGATTGAACCGTGTTCGTATCGACTTCTGATTTGATTCGTGGATAAGACGTTGACGACGAACGGAGATTCCTCGCGGAGATTAAACGGAAAGTAGACGGAGTGGCATTGACTGGACGGTGGATGAACGGAGACTGAAGACGAGGCGGAGACGGAGCTGAAACTGGCATTTTTCTCGATGGTGTGAAGAAAACTTCGCGTAAGCGCGCGAAGATGAGAGGAGGAGGAAGAAGAATAGCCAGTGGTTTTGAGTTGTTACTCACTGCGGTTAAGATTTCTCCACGTGTCCTATTTTTTTAATTAACGTCTTATCCGGTACACACCCGCTCAATATCGTAACCGTCATCAAATGATAAACCGACGGTTGGAATATTAAACCGGGTGACTGTTTCAAGTATCAAGTTACAAGTAGAGAACAAAATATATTTTGGGAAAAAAAGGATTCGCAAGTCACGATCGATACGAAACGCAACCGTTTGCTTTTGCCTCTTCCCTTTCTCAATATACTCCTTTAGTTTTCTTGTCCTTATCATAACTCCCCCTTCTCCTTCTTGTTTTTAAACTCTGAGAAACGTTAAACGTCGCCATTCACATCGTTCGTTCCGAGAGATCTCCAATCATATTCTTGACGTTTTCTCTTAAGGTAAGTTATCGATCAAACCGTTTTTAAACTGCTTCGAGTTGTGTTCGGTTGTGAATGTTATATGTTGTATAGGTGGCTTCTTCCTCTATGAACTTAGACATCATATGATATAATATGTTTTAGTCACTAAACGATGCGCTACTTGAAACCATGCGGTTAAATTAAAATATGAATTGTGGTTGAGAACGTAATTTTCGTTTTTTTCTAACGTTTTTTTTTATTACCAGGGTGGCTACAATGATTGGATCGTTTCTGACAAGAGGCCTTCTGTATGTTATACTTTCTTTAAAAAACCATGATATTTGCTTTTTGGGGTTTTAATAATGAATGTTTTTAATCGTTGATCACAGGATGGTGTTTGGATATGCATATCCTGCTTATGAGTGTTTTAAAACGGTCGAACAGAACAAACCTGAGATTCAACACCTCCAGTTCTGGTGCCAATATTGGTATATGAGATAGGATGATCGATCACGTTTTTTTTTTTTCTTTCTATTCTAGTACCTTGAGGTTTACGTTATTATATCTTGCAGGATTCTTGTAGCTGCTTTGACAATCTTTGAAAGAGTTGGTGATACTCTTGTTTCCTGGTAAGAAGCTGTTTTTGATTTTTGGTTAGAGTTTCATTATGTTATAATCTTTATTTCCTTTTACCAACTTGTTTTTTTATCTTGTTGAAGGTTGCCAATGTACAGTGAAGCAAAGTTAGCCTTCTTTATTTACCTCTGGTTCCCAAAAACCAAAGTAAGTAAAAATCCCTTTTTGAGATATAGACTTAGAGAGAAGTATATATTTCTGATTCTACTTGACCTTATATACACTTTTTAATTTCAGGGAACTACATACGTTTACGACTCCTTCTTCAAGCCATATGTCTCAAAGCATGAAAATGAAATTGACCGCAGCTTGACTGAAGTAAAAACCAGAGCTGGAGATATGGCAATGATATATCTCCACAAAGCAATCAACCATGGACATACAAGATTCTTTGAGATATTGCAGTATATTGCTGAACAATCATCACACAAACGTCAGTCTAAGGTACTAATGTTAATTTAGTTCCTTCACCTCTACGTCTCATGTGTTTTACTGTCCTGACTTACGGTAATCAATTTTTTTCTGTTTGTTAACAGGAGAATAAAGAGACAGCAACACCTGAACTTGGTGATCCAACTCTGAAGATGACACAAAAGAAAGACGCAGTACCTGAGACTGAATCATCCACCAAGAAAGACTAAAAGGCTGACTTAGGTGGGAAAGTATTGAGGAAAAACACATGGTTTCAATACAACTTTGTATTTTACTTTCTTTTATAGATACTTAATCATAAATAAAGAATCATTTAAATATCTTGTTGATTCGTGCAAGTTTCATATTTCAGATGTAAATGGCTTAGGAAAAAAATAATACTACATTTTGAAGTTCTAGAAATGGAATGAGAATGGTACCTTTATTGAAGTTGGTTTAGCATTATTAGAATCAGGCTTATTATGGGCCTAAACCTAAATCCTTCTCCCACACCCAATATTGGCCCAATCGCTTGGCCGTCCATGTATCCGTGGTCGATCTTTGTTTTTAAAACACTGTACAAAGTAATGTAAAAGAAAGAAAGTGCTTAAAGTAAAAAAACGATATACATAAATAACATAACCATAGGACCACACGGTTACAAGTGGTGACAGATCATCATTACATGGTTAAACACATCAATGTTTACATAATTTTCTAGAGAGATTTCATATTGTATTGTATACAAGTAACCAGATTAATTTGATGTTACATGTAGAGAAAGTCCAAAAACATTGAGTTGTCGAGAGACCAATAATTTAAGAAGGAAACGAATGATAGGTGAATCCCCTATTAAGAGTTAGGGACCATTTTTGAATAGTAGAAGTTATTGTACATCTTATCTTCTCAATCAATTGCATTAATTGATGATATGAAGCTTGTTGTATGATTCAGTGTAAAACTAAAGAGTGTCAGCAAGAACATACTCTCTTTGATTAATTCTCTCTGAGCTAGCTTGATAAAACTGCCCAATTTGGACTCTCTATCAAAGAAAGCAACACAACAAATAATGAGAGAAGTTTTAGGTAGTCAATTCCAAGACCGGTCTCGTTTTCTCACATCTAATATTCGACAATTTACTTGATTATAGAGTGAGTGTGCGAAAAGATATACATTGCAGTTGTTACAAGTCTGTTAGTATAAAAATAGATTGTAATTCTACACTTTCATTACCATATTTTCAGTATCGTGCTCATCAGGGCTTAAAGCTAGTTAAAAAATACAATGAGTTCATTTTGAACTTTATTTCAAAACTTTAGTTAAAAATAGATTGTAATTCTACACTTTCATTACCATATTTTCAGTATCGTGCTCATCAGAGCTTAAAGCTAGTTAAAAAATACAATGAGTTCATTTTGAACTTTATTTCAAAACTTTAGTTAAAAATAGATTGTAATTTTTACACTTTCATTACCGTATTTTCAGTATCGTGCTCATAAGAGCTTAAAGCTAGTTCAAAAATAGAATGAGTTACCATTTTGAACTTTATTTCAAAGAACTCGTAAAAAACAAATTCCATTGCAAGTTTTTGTAATAAGTTACCACGTTTCAAATTATGTTTCATTTGTTAAGCACGAACTGTAACACAAAACGCTATGGTGAACCTAAAAATATTATATTAAGTTGATTGGAACCATAAGTGTTTATAGAATTTTCAAATTATGATATAGCTTTTAAAAAATATTTTCCTGAAATAAAAGGTACGAGGGATCTTCAATATGTTTGGGTGGGAGATGTAATTCAATTACAAACGTTACACAAGGGATCCCTTGCGGGGCTTGATTTAGTTCATACACTTTTTTGATTATACGAAATGGGGACACATTTGTCTCCATCTTTTCATCTTTTATTTGAACCGAGTTGCCGAAACTTTAAAAAACCTCTAATCACACGTGCATTTTATAAGTTTATAACATCTTAAAAGAATACATTATCAAGAGAGTAAACAAACATTTTGTATCTAGAAATATGTCTTGTTTGTCCAGTCCTGTGTTCGTCATATAAAGTCTAAAATCTAACAAATAACAAAAAAAAACTGAAGAGGTTTATTAAAAGTTCCGTAATTCATAGCTACGATCAAAATATATTGTGTACATGGAAGTTTTCTATCTCTCTCTGTCGGTGTTTGAAAAATCTTCTATCCTTCGTGGCTCTATATCTAATGCATATTTTTTTTGTTTTGATCAAAATATCTAATGCATATTAAAAGCACTTGATATTATACAAACTGGAAGTTCTCTTTACTGCAATACAAGATGGGTGATACTAATATTTATATCAGTTTTGAAGTTATAAATGGGGAAAATGGGGAAAATTTATATCAGTGTTACAAAAAAAAATGGGGAAAATTATTAACCAGAGACTAATGCTGATCATCCACGTTCCTATTAGAGATTCTTTAACATGCATGCAGGTGGAGTAAATTTTCTGTCAGTCTAATAAATTCCATTGTCACCGGAGTAACAATACTATTTAAATGTTATGCGTACGTAACAATTGGTTTTGAATTTCAAACTTGTTAACATACAAACACATTCTCAAAGATCTCGCGCTACTTTTCTTTGTCAAAACGCCACCTTGTCAGCTTTGTGTTGTAACAATATATCAAATCTTCTACTAAATTCAATAGATGACAAAAAAAACGCTACCTATATTGCTATATAAGTTATAAAATGTAATTATTTATAAAGTTAAATGAAAGGAGGGGGGATTTAACAACTAGGTTTATTAGAGTGAGGCAAAAGAGAGAGACAAATGTGGAACATGACAAGTGAGAAGGCCAAATCGACTGCGTGATAAATCCAAATATTGCGGCGAATGTGAAGGTCTTCGATTTTTACATCCGGTCAGCGGTCAATTCTAACCCTTATGATTAATTTACTTTATGGTTTTGATGAATGATTAATACAAATTAATCAAATTATTGTGCTATGTTTAATTCTAATTAATATCACAACCTAAAAGTAAGCAAGCTGGGTTATATCATGTGTGTTTGAATTAAGTAGCATAGGGTATTCTTTTACTGTGGGGCATTAATTTTGTATGAAATATTAATAAATGCATTGTCCCATACTTCTTACACTAACTTCAAGTGTAACTCCACCACTATTTACTGTAGTGAAATTAATTTCTGACACCCTAAGTTTCTTCCCCGAAATCAATTTCTTATTAACATGAAGGACAACATTTTTCAACTATAGAATACTTATAGATATATTGAATTAAACACCAAAAATCTATATAAGTAAAGTAATATTAGCATAATTTTTATATAGGAGATTAAAAATCATAGACATTGAAAAAATCAATCCGAGACAAATAGAACATTTGAAATTCGTAATCACAGTTCCAAATACGAAGTTTCCAAAGACCTTGTCTGTTGTTTAACGTGTAATCTTGATCTGTTTAAACAATTGTTTTGTCCATACATTCAAACATTATTTTAGCAGGATTATTATTATATAATTTATGTACTAAAATCATTTTCTTTCTGGCTTACATGCATGGAATCTCCAAATTTTTAATAACAAAATAAGAAATCAGAAATTTGAGTAGAATGATAATACCTAACAAATAAATATTAAAGAGTTGAGATGCTTGCATCACATTTTCTTTTGCATTTCGACCAATAATAGCTTTATGGCGTTGACCAAGTCGGCTCTTAAGGTGGTCAGACTGTAATGGAAGATCATATGTAAGGAAGCAGTTAACTGTTAAAGCAGATACAAGCCAACCAAGCTCGTCCAAAAAGATTTAATTTCAAGTTCTTCTAACTAATTTCTTATCATTAAAAAAGCATTTCAGAGCTCAAAAATGCATATTAAATACTGCTTTTTTTTTCTTTTGACGAAATACATATAATTAAATGCACCACAACTAACAAAGCAACAACCAGATACCAAAATTAATTAAGATTTTTTGCTCTGACAAAACAAGATATCTTAATATAGCTTAGTACATTATATTTCAATTAAAAGCTTATGATTATAAAATTAACAAAGGGTAAGAAAGTAAAACAGTAAATAAAGAATTAAAGAAAGCTAGAGCCCACCACTTTAGTTTTCCCTCCTTATTATCCCATCTTGGATCCATCTTCGATTTCAACACCAAAATAAAAAGCTTATAATTAAAGAACCAAAAAGAAACTCTCACATTCTCAAGAGCTTCTCTCTCAACTTCAATGGCTTTACTAACCATCTTGCCGGAAAACGCAGAACCTCCAAAACATACTCCACCGCCTAGCAAACGCAAGAAACGCGAGAATCCCACCGAGAAATCGCATAAACCGCAGAAACCACACAAACCTCAAAAGCAAAAAGCAGCAGCACCTCAGAAGCAACCTTCCTCATGGGACCAAATCAAGAACCTCTTGACTTGCAAACAAATCGAAGGTTCAAGAGTTCACGACCCATCCAAGAACTCTCAACCTCCTCCGTCCACGACGGCTAACTCATCATCACCTTCCAAGCTAAGCTCTTCGTGCAGCTCCATATGCAGTTTCCGTGACGTGGCTCACGGCAACACTCGTGTGGTTCACAGAGCAGACAACTCTCCAGAGGTAGCTAACTCGGCTACTCCTGGCTCGGAGACTCGTCTTCTGACTCGGAAACCTGGTCAACACGGTTCTTCGTCTCGTTCTCTTACATCTGGCTCAACTAGATCTAACGCCAGTGGGAGTTACACGTCGTCAACGACGTCGTTTAGAGCCATGCAGTTCCGTAAACTCTCTGGATGTTACGAATGTCACATGATCGTTGACCCTAGCAGGTAATTAAAAATCGACAGTAAAATAAGTTGCAGTTACATTTTTTGTAGTTTCATTTATTTATATATTTTTGGATTTTAGGTATCCGATTTCGCCTAGGGTTTGTGCTTGTTCCCAATGTGGAGAAGTTTTTCCAAAGCTTGAAAGCTTAGAGCTTCATCAAGCGGTTCGTCACGCAGGTAATGCTTTTTTTATTTGTTCTTTAGTTTTGGACTTTATTACTTAAGTTAAAGTTATAGTATTTAAATTAGACTCTAGCTACAGTATTAACTTTAGTATGTGTATAGTCACGTTACTAAAGTTAACCCTAGTCTTGAGAGGACCTTTTTATTCATGTGGTGATATTTTACAAATGCAATTTTCTCGGTAAAGCAAAGATTATATTTTGTAGAAGTAAAAATCTGCTTAAGATCTTAGTCCATAGACTATGGTGCTGAATGATGATTAAACCTTTACTTATTATTCAATCAATTATTAGCACTATCTACACATGTTTTTGGACACTTGGATTTATCAGAAGATTTACCATAATGTTAAACAATAATTATCGAATATGCTTTCATTTTATAGCTTAGACTTAGTTTTTTTTTCTATAGAAATTGGAACCAAGATCTCAATGTTATTGTCGGCGATAGTATCTATCAAATAATATTATGAACATTTGGCAGTATGTTACAGTTTGTAATTGTATTAAAATTCACACAACTGCATCTCAAAGAAAAATACAAAATAGAAGAGGAATATTAATGGAGAAACAATCTCTATATTCTATAGTTTCCATACCTGTCATTTTTGCTTGGAAACATTTCGGTGCGATGGGACCATTTGTACTATAAAAGCATGAACAGCTGTTACACTTCTTAACTTAATTTAATGTCACATAATATTATTACGTGTCACATTTCTACTCGTTAGGACAAGAATTATAACCTTCTCCTGACAAACCGTACTAATGTTTTGACTATTTTTATCTTCCCTGATTAAAACGTTGTCACGTTGTCGTTTTATTACAGTTTCTGAGTTAGGTCCGGAAGATTCGGGTCGAAACATAGTTGAGATCATATTCAAGTCAAGCTGGCTCAAAAAAGACAGTCCAATCTGTAAGATCGAACGGATACTAAAAGTACACAACACTCAACGCACGATCCAACGGTTCGAAGATTGCCGAGACGCAGTGAAGGCGCGTGCGCTTCAAACCACAAGAAAAGACGCTCGTTGTGCTGCCGACGGCAACGAGCTTCTCCGTTTCCACTGCACCACTCTCACTTGCTCTCTCGGCTCTCGTGGCTCCTCTTCTCTCTGCTCTAACCTCCCTAGCTGTGGCGTCTGCAACGTGATCCGCCACGGGTTCCAAGGAAAGTCCGGCGCCGGAGGAGTCGCCGCTGCCGAAATATCTAGCGGCGGTGTGAGGACGACGGCGAGCAGCGGGAGAGCTGATGATTTGCTGAAGTGTAGTGATGATGCGAGGAGAGTGATGCTTGTGTGTCGTGTGATCGCTGGGAGAGTTAAGCGCGTTGATGATATACCGGCGGAGGAGAAGAAGGCTTCGGTGGAGGAGAAGAAGTCTCCGGTGGAAGATAACTCGACGGGTGGAGTTTCTTCGAGCGGCGGTGTGTTTGACTCCGTGGCGGTCAACGCCGGAGTTTATTCTAATATGGAGGAGCTGGTGGTTTATAACGCGAGGGCTATATTACCTTGCTTCGTGGTTATTTACAAGGTTTTAGAATCTTGAGTTTGTAATATTTAACTTCAGAAATAATGTTTTTTTTTTTCTTTTTTCTTGTGTGCTTGTAGTGTGCTACTACTTCTAACTTTTAAATATTGCAGTGAGATTAGGTTAATCAACAACATATCAGATTTAACCTGCATCATAAATCCCATCTTATTATTGACTATTTAGTATTTACTATGAAGTGGAAATAAGAGTCCAAGCTAATTATTATCATGATTTATTTAGGAAAAAGTCATTTGTAGAGTGAGCCAATAACTTAGTATGATTAATGAAAAAGTTAATGTGTAATTTAGTCATGGCTTTTTTGTTGTTGTTTGATCTCAGTTTGGGCTTTTAACTAGGAAATGTAGTTTTTTGTTTAAACCACAGTAACTTCATCATAGATGTGTCACACTGGGTGGGCATCAAATAGTGTGGAAGTGGCAGAGAGTGATATAATTGCTACCACATGCGTACTCAGTATATATTGTTTTATCCTCCCAAGTTCTTTTTTGCTTATTTTTAGATTTTAGGGAAAGCTGATTTGTTTTAGATAACCATGCAAAGCTGTTTTTCACTTAAAGAAATACAGTTTTACTCAGATAAGTTCAAAATTAGCCCATAAATAGTAAAGGGTTTGCACGCTGAGAGGCAGCCATTGGAACTTTCCTCGTTGTCAGAAGCTGCTACATTGTTTATTTGGTGATTAGTAAGTGAAATCACCACGAAGCAAGGTAATATTATATTCGTTACCCTGCATTTAATATTTTTAAGAAAATGTATTTAATATTTTTAAGAAAACAAAATTGTCTATTATTAATCATTTATTTAAATCATGTACTTTAAAATATGTTAATGTATTTTTTATTTTAAATAACAAATATTTTATTTTGATAAATTTCAATGGTAACTTTTAAATAATTTATCGTTTTATTTTCTTAAATAATTTACTAATTTAAAAAATGTAAAGCAAAACCAAAAACCAAATCTAAAAACAAAAATCAAAACCAAAAGTTGAAAACACAAGTTATATTTTTTTATTTTGTTTATTTAAAAAATATACTATTTCAAATTTTTTTGTCATCTTTTCAGTTTTAAATTAGATGTTCGATTATTTAGATTTGTTTGTTGGTAATATCAGTTCAAACTAAGTCAACGGGTCTAAAAATTAAAAACACAAACCAAAAGCTGAAAATCAAAAGTAGAAATTTAAAAACTAAAAACCAAAACAAAAATCTAAAACAAAATCTAAAAATAAAAACTGAAATTAAAAACTAATGAAAAACAATCATCACCACAAATTTTGGTGAACTGATTTTATACCAAAACATTGTTTAAATTAAGACAAAATTCAATTATATAAATTTTTAATCATAAAAAATTTCCGCGCTTTCAAGCGCGGGTCAAAATCTAGTTTTTTATTTACAGTGAAGTTGCAAATGAAATCAACGACATATGGTAGCCCAAACTACCATTATGTACTGGTCTTAAATTAAGCTCCAGCCCAATTAACTTTGACTCACAGTCGGTAGCACTTAAGACACGTCCTTGACGTCGTTATGTGACATATTATATAATTTACAAGAACTCTTTTTCCAAACTCAGAGGATATGGCCCATTGAAATAGAAAGTAACCAAAAACTACTTGAGATGATAACAACAGAATATTGAGTTTTAATGAGTTTTGTATGTGGTTTAGATTTAACGTTCAAAAAGAAAAAAATACAAGACGTAATCATAACCATCATAAGACCTTTTGTGATCAATGGCGAACGCAGAAAGTAGACGCTAGGTAGATACTTGAACGGTGGAATACAAAAAAGTTGGAGTTGAGAAGCATTTTCTTAGGAACACTTTATTGTGTTGTTTTTAGAAGCTGTTGATGCAATCATGCAAAGCAAGAATATGGATCATCAGTAATGGCTTTGCATTATGCTTCTCTTTGTTGAACGCTTAGCAACTGCATTCCGAGGGAGAAAACATGACCTTTAACAATTTGGAAGAGAGGACATCCTTTGTAAGAAAAACAAGAAGAATATAATCTCTTCTAAGCATTTGCATGTAACATAGAGAGCTCTTGAGTTCCCATTTAACCACTTTATCGCGAGTTGATTGTGTGTCTCAAATGGGATAAAAGAGTCTATTACGTTACAAGTTTACTCTAAAGGCTAAAGCTGATCTGTACATGCGTTGATATGGTAAACACATTAGCTACATTTTTGTAGATTATTTGTCAGTTGAATTTGTGTATTTTTAACCAACTGATCCTGATTTTTTTTTTTTTTTTTTTTTTTT